TTGAATAGCAGTGGTGAGAGTGGACATCCCTGCCGCGTCCCTGACCTTAGGGGAAAAGCTCTCAGCTTTTCCCCATTGAGAATGATATTCGCTGTAGGTTTTTCGTAGATGGCTTTTATGATATTGATGTATGTACCCTCTATCCCTATACTCTGAAGAGTTTTGATCAAGAAAGGATGCTGTACTTTGTCAAATGCTTTTTCTGCATCTATTGAGAGGATCATATGATTCTTGTTCTTTCTTTTGTTAATGTATTGTATCACGTTGATTGATTTGCGGATGTTGAACCAGCCTTGCAGCCCAGGGATAATTCCCACTTGGTCGTGGTGAATAATCCTTTTAATGTACTGTTGGATCCTATTGGCTACTATTTTGGTGAGAATTTTTGCATCCATGTTCATCAAGGATATTGGTCTGTAATTCTCCTTTTTGATGGGATCTTTGTCTGGTTTTGGGATCAAGGTAATGGTGGCCTCATAAAATGAATTTGGAAGTTCTCCTTCCATTTCTATTTTTTGGAACAGTTTCAGGAGAATAGGTATTAATTCTTCTTGAAATGTCTGATAGAATTTCCCTGGGAAGCCATCTGGCCCTGGGCTTTTGTTTGTTCGGAGAGTTTTGATGATTGCTTCAATTTCCTTAGTGGTTATAGGTCTGTTCAGGTTTTCTATTTCTTCCTGGTTCAATTTTGGTAGTTGAAACGGTCTAGGAATGCACCCATTTCTTCCAGGTTCTCTAATTTGCTGGCATAGAGTTGCTCATAATATGTTCTTATAATTGTTTGTATTTCTTTGGTGTTGGTTGTGATCTCTCCTCTTTCATTCATGATTTTGTTGATTTGGGTCATTTCTCTTTTCTTTTGGATCAGTCTGGCCAGGGGTTTATCAATCTTGTTAATTCTTTCAAAGAACCAGCTCCCAGTTTCGTTGATCTGTTCTACTGTTCTTTTGGTTTGTAGTTCATTGATTTCTGCTCTGATCTTTATTATTTCTCTTCTCCTGCTGGGTTTAGGCTTTATTTGCTGTTTTTTCTCTAGCTACTTTAGGTGTAGGGTTAGGTTGTGTATTTGAGACCTTTCTTGTTTCTTGAGAAAGGCTTGTATTGCTATATACTTTCCTCTCAGGACTACCTTTGCTGTATCCCAAAGATTTTGGACAGGTGTGTTTTCATTTTCATTGGTTTCCATGAATTTTTTTTAATTCTTCTTTAATTTCCTGGTTGACCCATTCATTCTTTAGTGGGATGCACTTTAGCCTCCATGTATTTGAGTTCTTTCCGACTTTCCTCTTGTGATTGAGTTCTAGTTTCAAAGCATTGTAGTCTGAAAATATGCAGGGAATGATCCCAATCTTTTGGTACCAGTTGAGACCTGATTTGTGACCTAGGATGTGATCAATTCTGGAGAATGTTCCTGGGCACTGGAGAGAATGTGTATGCCGTTGCTTTAGGATGGAATGTTCTGAATATGTCTGTGAAGTCCATTTGGTCCAGTGTGTCATTTAAAGTCTTTATTTCCTTGTTGATCTTTTGCTTAGATGATCTGTCCATTTCAGTCAGGGAGGTGTTAAAGTCCCCCACTATTATTGTATTGTTGTCAATGTGTTTCTTTGCTTTTGTTATTAATTGCTTTATATAATTGGCTGCTCCCATGTTCGGGGCATAGATATTTACAGTTGTTAGATCTTCTTGTTGGATAGACCCTTTAAGTAGGATATAGTGTCCTTCCTCATCTCTTATTACAGTCTTTGTTTTAAAATCTAGTTTGTCTGATATAAGGATTGCCACCCCAGCTTTCTTTTGGTGTCCATTAGCATGGTAAATGGTTTTCCACCCCCTCACTTTCAATCTGGGGATGTCTTTGGTTCTAAAATGAGTCTCTTTCAGACAGCATATTGATGGGTCTTGTTTTTTAATCCAATCTGATAGCCTGTGTCTTTTGATTGGGGCATTTAGCCCATTTACATTCAGGGTAACTATTGAAAGGTATGAATTTAGTGCCATTGTATTGCCTGTAAGGTGACTGTTACTGTTTGTTGTCTGTGTTCCTTTCTGATCTTTGCTGCTTTTAGTCTCTCTCTTTGCTTAGAGGACCCCTTTCAATATTTCTTGGAGGGCTGGTTTCGTGTTTGCAAATTCCTTTAGTTTTTGTTTGTTCTGGAAGCTTTTTATCTCTCCTTCTATTTTCAATGACAGCCTAGCTGGATATAGTATTCTTGGCTGCATATTTTTCTCATGTAGTACTCTGAAGATATCTTGCCAGTCCTTTCTGGCCTGCCAGGTCTCTGTGGATAGGTCTGTTGCAAATCTAATATTTTTACCATTGTAGGTTACATATCTCTTCTCCCGAGCTGCTTTCAGGATTTTCTCTTTGTCTCTGAGACTCATAAGTTTTACTATTAGATGTTGGGGTGTTGACCTATTATTATTGATTTTGAGAGGGGTTCTCTGTGCCTCCTGGATTTTGATGCCTGTTTCCTTCCTCACATTAGGGAAGTTCTCTGCTATTATTTGCTCCAATATACCTTCTGCCCCTCTCTCTCTTTCTTCTTCTGGAATTCCAATTATTCTAATGTTGTTTCATCTTATCGTATCAGTTATCTCTCGAATTCTGCCCTCGTGATCCTGTAGTTGTTTCTCCCTCTTTTTCTCAGCCTCTTTATTTTCCATCATTTGGTCTTCTATATTACTGATTCTCTCTTCTGCCTCATTTATCCTAGCAGTTAGTGCCCCCATTTTTTATTGCACCTCATCAATAGCTTTTTTGATTTCGACTTGGTTAGATTTTAATTCTTTTATTTCTCCAGAAAGGGTTTCTCTAATAACTTCCACGCTTTTTTCAAGCCCAGCTAGTATCTTTAAAGTCATGATTCTGAACTCTAGGTCCGACATCGTACTAATGTCCGTATTGAGTAGTTCCCTGGCAGACGGTACTACCTCTTGTTCTTTTTGCTGAGGTGATTTTTTTCGTCTTGTCATTTTGTCCAGAGGAGAATAGATGAATGAGAGAACAAAATGCTAACAGGTTTACAACCTCCCCAGCAAATATACTGTATACAAATCAGAAAAGACCTGAAACCAGGGGAAAAGAAAGGGAAAGAAAGAAAAAAGAATGAGAAAAAAAAAAAGAAATAAAGATAAAAACAAAAACAGAACAATACAAAAAAAGCAGAATGTGATCAAATATGATCAGGCTAGTGCATAGATCAGTGCCACACACTAGATTTTGGGCGTATTTTGGTCTGCTAGAAAAAAGTGCCTCCTAAAATTTTAAAGGAAGAAAGACATATATGTACAAAATAAGGGTTGATACAATGAAGGGATAGAAGATGACTGTAAAGATGAAAAGTATAAAAGATTTTATAAAAGGACTTGATAAGATAAGAAGTTGTTTGAAAAAAGAAGATTTAAAAAAAAGAAAAGAAAAAAGGGAGAGAATGTGATCAGGCAGGAGACTAGAACAGAGCCATACATTAGTGATTTAGGGTATATTTTTATCTGTTAGAAGAAACTGTATCTCAAAATTTTAAAGAGAGAACAACTTATATATATATGCCAAAAATAAGGGTAACTACTATGAAGGGATAAAATATGACTCTAAAAATGAAAAATAAAAAATGTTTTTTTTTTTTTAAAAGAGATTGATAAGATGTTGGTTGAAAAAGTGAAAAAGAAAAAAAAAACAGTTAACAAAAATTAACTTTGATGAACTAATGAATCATGGTTAAAAAAAGCCATGAATTCTATGTGCAGTATTCCCCTAGCGCTGGAGTTCTTCCGTTCTCCTTGATCGGTAAACTTGGTCTTGGCTTGCTGGCTGTTCGTGCTGATCTTCTGGGGGAGGGGCCTGTTGCTGTGGTTTCCAAATGTCTTTGCCAGAGGCTGAATTGCCCTGCCCTTTTCGGTCCGGGCTAAGCAAGCTGCTCGGGTTTGATCTCAGGAGCTTTTGTTCCCTACAAGCTCTCTGTACAGCCTTGGAGGACCAGGGCAAAAATGGTGGCCTCCCAATCTCCACCCGGAGGAGCTGAGAACTTGGGCCCCACTCCTCAGTGTGTCCCCAGAGAAAAGCAGTCACTCCCTTGTCCCCGGTCTCCGGCCGCTCTCCGTGCTCACCCGGCCTGTGACCGAGCATTGCTATCTCTGGCACCCGACCCCGTGTGGAGTCTCCAAACCCAGCAGATCCCTGCGGTGCGCTCCCGCACCACTCCTCCCAGGGGAGAGAGGGGAGTCACCCCGGATCTGCCGCCTGTTGGGTCCCTGCTGCAGGAGCAGTGGCCCAACTGGGCTGCGGATCACAGTTTATGGCAACCCCGAGCTGAGAACCCGCGCCTCAACTCTGTCTCTGCAGCCGGCTTCCCCGCTCCGATACCTGGGAGCTCTGGCGCACTCAGGCACCCCCGGTTTTTCTGTGACCCCAAGGGTCCTGAGACCACACTGTCCCGGGAGGATTCCACCCCCTGCTTAGCCACTGCAGCGACGTCCCTCAGCGGAGACGACTTCTAACAGTTCCGATGTTGTGCTCCGCGGCTCTATCACTTGCCAGAAGCGGCCGACGGCGGCCCCCTCCCCCGCCGTCTATCCTCCCGAATATCGCCTCGGATTCACTTCTCCGCACGTCCTACCTTCCAGTAAGTGGTCGCTTCTCTGTTCAGAGAGTTGTTGCTACTCTCCTCTTTGATCTCCTGTTGAGTTTGTAGGTGTTCAGAATGGTTTGATCCCTATTCAGCTGAATTCCTGAGACCAGACGAAATCTAGGTCTCCTACTCCTCTGCCATCTTGCTCCGCCCCCCTCAAATAAATAAAATCTTAAAAAAAAAAAGGCAAAGGAGAATTTTCCAAATGTGTAGTTAGAGAGCCCCAAATTCTAGCTACATACTAACTAGTGGACTGGATTTGTAAAATACTGCTGAGTAGGAAAGACAGATAGGTAGGTGGTCAGGACAAGAAAATGAAAGAATCACAAACTGGCGTCCAAGGCAAGCACACTATAAACTGTGGTTCACCTCTTGGGGCTGAATATCCTTCACCATCAGTGGGGTCCTCCTCCTTCTGCGAGGCCTGGTGCCAGTAGTAGAAAGTGGCCTGTATATGAAAGCATATCATATAAAAGGACTTAACATTTCCTTCACCATGATGAGGACACTTGAAAGAAGCTTGATAATTTTCTTCGCCCATTGTGTCATCTTTGGTCATTGACTGGGCTTTCTTCTGCTCGCTAACACTTTCTTAAGGTCTCCTTGTCCTGGAATTCATAATCACCACCACTAAATTTCTTCTAGATTCTCTACAGAGCCTTGATTCCTAATAATGATGGTGTTGAATCAGCGTTTATTTAAATTATCTCATTTAATTAATGATTTATTTTATTCATTCAATATTTAGGAAACCCATTATATGTGAATAAGTTAGTCTTTAACAAAGGCTAGAAAGATAACTGTAGTGTCAAGACCATGTTTGAAAGATTAACCAATGTAGGTGCAAATCAAGATTCCAACAACTGAGGTGGTAAGACTTCGAACATATTTGTTAACCTCTGAGCCTTGGTTTCCACTTAAGAAAAAGTGTGAAGTGCCTGATTTTGCAAGACTGCTACAGTTAAGGACTAATATAAAACACCTTTTCACCTATAAAATGGAAATAATAGTTACTACTTCACAACATTCTTGTGAAGATTAGAGATAATGAATTATAAAAAGACTCAGCATAGCACTTGTCATAAAGATAATGACCAATAAATGTTACACAGTGTATTCTTATAATGGGTGTAAAATCTTTACTAATAAGAGTTATAACTTTTTATTAATTATGAATACAGTAATCAACATAAAAACAATACATGTATTGCTGTGACGGATTTCCCAGTAAAATTGATACCCAGCCTCTGGTCCAAGAGAAATGTATCTGTACTTATTTCTGAGTATTTGTAGTAAACTACTTAAATTTGAGAATTTGGGTCATATCCTTGAATTTAAAATAAATTAGAGGTCAAAAAGTCCCCAAAGTAAGATAGAAGGCTACCTCTGGACTTCCTTCTGCTTTCTTCTGGTGCTTTCATGCCAGATTACTATAGCAACCACCACAGATATCATGGCCACAGGGAACAGCACCCCAACCACAATGGAGAAGTCTGCAACAAAGAGAACCCAGACCTGTTAAGGGTATGAGAAACGCACAAATATGCATCACTCTAGTCCTTATTTCTTCATTTATCACAAACTCCATTCTACCCTTTCCTCCAAAGAAGGCATTCCCTGGAAAATCTCTCATAATCAGTAAAATGAAAATGCATTTTGATCATGAGTGTTGTAATATTATGTAGATAGAGGAAGTAAGGGGAAAATCCATATAAAACATGGCATATGAAATAGGGAAAGCATCATACTACTGAGAATCCTTAGAAGGGATGATGTTTGTACCAACTGGAAAGTGTTAGGCTGGGAGTTTAAAGAGAATGGGAAGTGAGGAGGATGTAAAAAAAGGAGTGAAACATTTTTAAAATTTGGCGTTGGCATCAAACAAAGAAAAAGAAACGGAAGCCTTGTGATCATATTCCTGTCAGCAGCAAACGAGGAGCGGAGACAAGAAGAAGAGAATTGATAGAGGCACAGGTGAGCGTTTTACTGGTGTTTGCTCCATCTCGGAATTATTACAGACAGAAAAGAAATTATGTGACCCTGTGAGTTGCAGACCAATTTGAACAAATTTCCTGGGTCTATATGGTATTTTCTCTTTTAACTGCTCATTGAAGTAATGAGTGTAACGTCAATCTTTTGCTATGTCAAATATTAATTTCTCTTATAATAATCTGAAACTTTAGAGACCAGGAGGTACAAATTTAAAGAGCAATGAGAACAACTACTGCTTTCTCATTAGAGATCAGCCAGGCAATAATAAGATTAATTTTGGTATAACGCAAGAAAAGTTCCCAAGTGTGAACATGCATACATGCAGATAGAGGCAGATATGTCAGAAGTAGAATTCTAAGATAATAACAATATCTAAACTTACCACCCCTCCATAACAATTCCTATCCAAAAAGCCAAAGAAAATAAAATTCTGAGGCATTTCAGTTGAATATAGCATAGATAGATTCAGAATGAAAAAGAAAATATACTGGCACTAACCTCAGAATTATAACTATTTTCAGAAGAGCAACATGGTATCAGAAGAAATAAAGAGGAAATTGACAGGACTTCACAAACACCCCTATTTGAAAGGACAAGGTCTGCAGAGAAAGTTGAGGTATAAGACAGATGGGGCTCAGATGGTTAAGCGTCTGCCTTCGGCTCAGGTCATGATCCCAGGGTCCTGGGATCGAGTCTTGCATCGGGCTCCCTCCTCCTTGGGAGCCTGCTTCTCCCTCTGCCTCTCTCTCTGTCTCTCATGAATAAATAAATAAAAATCTTTAAAAAAAAAGACAGATGGGGAATATTATGATAGGAAGGAGGTATGCAGTTTAACATGGAAATAATTGAAGAGAAAGTATGCTCTTCTGTTTCTGGTAACAGTGGTTTGGGAAATTCTGACCAACTCTCCCACTAAAAGCAACTAAAACATTTTTGCCAAAAAAAAGGGGGGGGTAACTAATTTTAAGAAAGACTAAATAAATGAATAGATAGTTCATGTCAATGATTAGGAAATCAACATTTTTTATTTATTTTATTTAAGATTTTATCTATTTGTTAGAGAGAGAGAGAGAGCACAAGAAGGTGGAGCGGCAGACAGAGGGAGAAGTGGGATCCCTGCTGAGCAAGGAGCTGATGTGGGACTCAGTCCCAGGACACCAGGATCATGACCTAAGCCAAAGGCAGATGCTTAAGCGACTGAGCCACCCAGGTGTCCCCCTTTCTTTTTTTTAAATTTTTTAAAAGATTTTATGTATTTGTTAGAGAGAGAGAGAGGAAAATCAATACTTTTTTAAATATTTATTTATTTATTTGAGAGAGAGAGGGCGGGGGGAGGGGAGAGAGAGAGAGAGAATCTCAAGCAGACTTTCTGCTGAGTGCAGAGCCCAACACGGGACTCCATCTCATGACCCTGAGATCATGACCTGAGCTGAAATCAAGAGTCAACAACTTCACTAACTGAGCCACCCAGGTGCCCTAGGAATTCAATATTTTTTATATATACTCATTCTCCCAAGTAAATCATAGATGTGGTTTATGTTATATGTAAATCCTAACAAGAATTATGTGTATAAATTGAGAATCTGATTATAAAATATATGTAAAAGTGCAAAAAGCTAATAACCAAATCATTCTTAAAGAAGAACAAAGTTAAAGGACAGCCTATATCAAAATTATTCTAAAGACAGAGTTTAAAAAAGTGTCATACTAGCACAAAGGACAGTCAAGTAGGACCACCAGAAAAGAATAGATATCCCAGAAAGACACATATGTGAACACTTGCATTTGGGAAGGATGAATGATAACGTGACAGTTGGGCATCTATCTGGGATGAAAATGAAATTAAACATTTGTATCATACACAAAATAGTTTCAGATTATAGACCTAAATTTGAAAAGACAGTACCAGAATGCTTTTAGAAGACAATATACAGATATATATTCATAACTTCAGGGTAGGGAATATTTCCTTAGAAAAGGACACACAAAGGAAAAAAAAAAAACTAACCATCAAGAGAATGATTAAAAAATTGACTACATTGAAATTAAAATCTTCCATTAACCACATGATATCACAAAGAGAGTGAGAAAACACAGGAGGGAAGTTCTTTCAACATACATAACTGAAAATAGCTTATATCAAAAATATATTAAAACATATGTAAGTTAATAAAAGGGTGAGGGGAGACAACTCAATAGAAATACAGACAAAAAGGCTTGAACAAATACTTCACAGAAAAGAATATCCAACTGGCCCGCAAATAAAGAAAGATTCTTTGGTTATTATTATTATTAGTTATAAAAAGCAAATTAAGGGTCGCCTGTGTGGCTCAGTTGGTTAAGCATCTGCCTTCGGCTCAGGTCATGATCCCAGGCTCTTGGGATCGAGTCCCGCATCAGGCTCCCTGCTCCACGGGAAGCCTGCTTCTCCCTCTGCCTGCCGCTCCCCACTGCTTGTGCTCTCTCTCTCTCTCTCCCTCTCTCACTCCCGCTCTCTCTCTCTCTGATAAATAAATAAACAAAATCTTTAAGAAAATAAAGAAACCAAATTAAAACCTCAATGTGCTATCACTACTAACCTACCAGAAGGAATAAAATTTGCTATCTGCGAGTGTCAAATGGCTTAAAGGTTGTATAACAATAGGAACTTGTATTCACTGCTGTTAGGAGTGTGAAATTGTGCAGCCACTCTGGAAACAGTTTGGTACGATCTAGTTAAATTAGACTTGAATGACAATATTTATAGAAACTTTTTCTCAAAATAGTCTTGAAATATCCATAAAAGCAGTAAAAAAAAGGAAACTGTCATATATATACACATACACAATATTATACCAATATATGTCAAAATTGTGATATTATGCACAATAGCAAAAATAAACTAATTCCATCCATAAGAATATGGATGCTCTTAAAAACATAATATAGAGAAAAGAAGACTATGGGGACCAATAATTGTGTGTATATATATATATACACACACACACATACACATATATAGTTAAAAACAGAACCTACTGATTAGGAATGTGTATTTGGAAAGGAAGACCATGAAGAAAAGTAACAAAATGTTTATAATAAAAGACACATTAATGATTAACCCTTAGAGAAAGAAGACATTAGGACAGGGATGAAGCCAAGTGCTAACATGCCTGGGCTGCTAGCAATGCTCTGTTTCTTGGCCCAGACTGTAGTGTATGAATGCTCATTTTATAATTTGTATTATATATATATATATGCTATATTATAAATGTATACAAACAATACATGTGATATATCTATTTATATGTTTTTCTGTACAAATTTTACAAAAAATTGTTTTAATTAAGGAAGCTTGAAAGCCGGTGGTTATGTATGGCCATACTAGAGAGCAGGGGTCTTAACCTTTTATGTGCCACAGATCATTTTGGAAATCTGATAAGGACTATAAACTCTTTCTCTGAATGCTTTTAAATTCATTAATAAAATGCATAGGACTAAAAAGGAAGCCAATTATGTCAGAATACAGTTGTCAAAATATTATAAAGGAATTTATGATATGGTTACATATATACTTCTTTTTTAACCCCTAAATTATAAGACCTGACAGTGGCTTAGTAGCCACTATAATTTCAAACTAGAAACACACATATAGGACATTTAAGGATTTATGCAGCAACGGCAATGTGATGTAAAAATGTGTAATTTCTATTGGTGACACAGTCATGAGAACTAATACCACTGTGGTTTGTTTCCTTACATCCCTGTAATTGTAGAAAATTCTAAATTTTAGTTAGAGTTTAGTGAAAATAGAAATGTAATTTTTCTCATTCAAGTTTTGATTAGAAGCCTGGATTTCAGGAAAACCAGCCATTGAGGTCTGTCATTTTGGTGACGGGACACCTTACTGCATTTTCCCCAGTCTGATGGAGGTTTTGCTCGATGGTTGGGTCAGAAGTAGTGCCACAAATGGAACCAAACTCACCAACACAGTGTCCGGAAACAAAAAGAAAACCTGATGGATGAAGTTGAATCCTGACACAGTGGCTTTAACAAGTAGAACAAGTGATTCAGAGAAAAACATCCCCTATCTGTATCCTGAACCACTCCAGTTGCCTCCTTGATCCCCTTAAGATATAAATCTGATGTCACATAATGCATATTTCCATCACTAGTCCTTTGATTTAAAGTTTTCAAGAAATACTTTAACAATTTGTGTTGGAATTGATTCTTCTTTACTGGAGGATAAGTAATTAAGGGGGAAAGAACATAAAAATATGAAAAGATTAGGTTTAAAATAATATGTGGAAGTAGAATAGATATAGAATATCTGCTTTCAGAAAAAAATTATAAAGAATCAAAGTAAATTTAAGGTGGCATCTGCTTGGTACTCTCAGTAAAATGAAAATAGATTGTTAAAGAAGATACAAAATAAGAGAAGACAATAGAGTGGTATGAAAGAGGTTTAAAGAAACACAAAAATGCCACTGACCATTTTAGAATGTCATTATAACTAATAAATAGGAGTGTTGACATTGCCAAAAATTCACTCTATGATACAGAAAATAATTTTGAGAGACTTTCCCCAAAATAACAGGAGATAGACAATGACAAAAAAGGATAACAAGAAAGCCACACAATCAAGATATTTGATACAAATAATTTATATTTCTGAATTAGAAACCAGAGAAGTGGAACAGAATCAATTTTAATATCTGTAATAACAGAAACATTCCTTGCACTGAAGAATCAAATCCTCAGTTTGAAAGACCTCACTTGCTAACAATCAAAATAAGTAAAACAAAACAACACCCAGGCATGGCATGATGATTAGTTTTCATATAGTAGCAATTCTTTTTTTGTTGTTGTTGTTTTTTTCTTTTTTTTATTATTATGTTATTTTAATCACCATACATTACATCATTAGTTTTTGATGTAGTGTTCCATGATTCATTGTTTGCGTATAACACCCAGTGCTCGACACAGAACGTGCCCTCTTTAATACCCATCACCAGGCTAATCCATCCCCCCACCCCCCTCCCCTCTAGAACCCTCAGTTTGTTTCTCAGAGTCCATCGTCTCTCATGGTTCGTCTCCCCCTCCCATTCCCCCCCTTCATCTTTCCCTTCCTGCTCTCTTCTTCTTCTTCTTTTTTTTTTAAACATTATTTGTTTCAGAGTCTAAAAACACTTAAGGGAAAATAAACTAATGATTTTTAAAGGGTTATTTCACAACAACAACAAGCAAAATCTGGGTAGCCTCGGTTTTTGAACATTAAATATCAGTATCTACATCTTGAGAGAGTCATGAAATTAAAACTGTGAGTCAAAAGATCTAATCCAATCCAATCTATTCATGTTTTCTATTTAGCAGTGGAAATAAATCCTTATAAATGCAACATAGAAAGTTTCATGCAAGAAGAAAGAAGAAATGACTAATGTAAGTGATTTAGCAAATCAAGAGATTAAACAAAATACAGTTCAAGAAGAGGGAAGTCATATTTTAAAAGGATTTTTAGTGAGTGTTTAAACCATTAAAGAATTCCCTAAATAAGTAGCTGATTGATGTTGATGTGTCTATTCCCCTACCATATCCAAATACCAGATAACACATCCTAAGTAGCATATGTGCATGTGTTTGCATGTCTATATAAATGTAATAATATATTTAATATTTAAACATATACGTAATAAAATCATAGAGCACTAGAAAAATAGTAAAGAACTTTTAGAAATTTCAGAAAGAAAGTAAAGGGATTCAGGCAGACAGAAACAGAGTAAATTATAGTCCAAGCATCAGAAGTAAATGCTATTCTTTCTTGGGAAGTTTAGCAAATAACCAACAATTTTTTTAACTTAATTTAATTTTATTATGTTACTCATCGTATAATACATCATTAGTTTTTGATGTAGTGATCCATGATTCATTGTTTGTGCATAACACCAAGAGCTCCATGCAGTACGTGCCCTCCTTAATACCCATCACCAACACATTTTTTAAAAAATAGCTCAGGGGTGCCTGAGTGGTTCAGACAGTTAAGTGTCAGACTCTTGACTTCAGCTCAGGTCATGATCTCAGGGTTGTAAAATCAAGCCCTGTGTCAGGCTCCTCACTCAGCATGGAGTCTGCTTGAGATTCTTGCTCTCCCTCTCCTCCTGCCCATACCCCCCTCTAAAAAATAATAAATAAAAATAAATCTTTAAAAAATAACCCAAACATCAGAAGTAGATGCTATTCTTTCTTGGGAAGCCCACAGAGAATCTTAACTTGAGACAGATGGTTTGTTCAGGTCCATCCCCATCTGCATCCCTATCCCCATCCCTTTGGTATAAAGAAAAAGAGTGAAGACAAAGACCCAAGAACTGCTCTCTAGAAGCAATGGGGGATACAAGGGCCTGAGGAGCAGAACAGAGGCTAACTGCAGATACCCACAGTAGATGAGACAGAAGGGAGGATCAAGGAAAGAGTGCTGAGGGAAAGCAGTTCTCTCAGGAAGTAAATGCAGTGAGGAGCTCTCTTCTGGGCAAAGTACTCCTCACCATGGTGACTGGAGGTGAGGATCCGCACCCTGGCTGTTTCCCACCCTGATGGTCTGGATGGAGGCCTATCTATCTACTGATAGAGCTCACAGCCAGACCTCCCATCTGGAGAAGTATGGGTAGTTACAACAAGCACACAAGCATGCAAAGAAAACCGATGAAAGCTAACTGAAGTCAACCTAATCCCACCCTCAGCTAAGGGTCCTATATCCTGAAGAAAAATAGCACAATAAGAGACAGGGTGAAAAACAAATCAAACTCAAAAGAAATAGAGATGATTCAAAGAACAGAATTGAACGTACAAAAATAATCCAAGCCATATTCTTAGAGAATTTTATGAGAATATTGTACCTATACATTAAGTCAAAGCTCCTACAAAAATAGAACAATCATAAAACAAGAACATTTAGGAAATTAAAATTAAGATTACACATATAAAATTTGAGGAAATTTTTTGTATGTATAGTAAAAGCAAAAGAGTGTGGAAAATATGACTAAAAAGTTGTTAGAGACCTTGAAGATTAATATTGTAGATTCAATATTTATGGAATGAACAAGAATTCCAAGAGGAGAGAAAAGTGGCAATGAAATCTTATGTAATATGAGATAAAAGCTTAGAAGAGCAATTTTTCAGATTAGACGTGTAATGTTACCTACGGAAGACCACTGGGGAGTCATCACAATCAGGAGGGGCCCATCCTTCTTTACACTGACACTGGAGCTCATGGTCACACACCTAGAGAAGCAGTGATCCTATTAGTTGCCACACTAGGCTGACCACCAACCCAAGGGCCCTATTCATCAGAAACTAACCCCAACTCTGCAGCCTTTCAGCTATCTACATAATGTATGAATCCATCATAGGAATGTCACTACCAGGTTCTTAGAAGAAATTGTTTTCATTGAACCAAACTACTGTGCATTAAGGCAAACTTAATAATTTTAATCACTTAATGCTGTAACATTACTTTAGCATCATCAAGACTGACCTAAAATTACAAAAGATTCAGCAAGCTTGGGGAAACATTTTCAAAACTTACAGCATGTCCTTTGCACTTGGAGGAGCAATTGGTTGATTTGTAGGCTCTTTCGATATCTACACATTCTGCATTAATGCAAATCTGAAAGTGATGTGAAAAACATCAAGCTGACATCAATACCCAAAGGCTTCAGCTCTGCAAATTGCTGACTCTTTGGAATTTAGTCTTCTATTACTAGCTATGATTATTGTTATCAAACTTACCTTTTTATTAGGGAAATCACAGCATTCTTTTGGAAATAAGAAGATGAAGCTAGATAATTTTTATTAAAAAAGTTTGGAAAGTCCTCTAAAGAATAGTTCCTTACTTCACTTTATTCCTCATGGGTCATTCCCTTAATCCACCTCTTCAGTCCATACCTGAGACTGATAACTTAGCACTGAGCTAAGCTTTGTGCATGATACAAGGCACCCACTCCAAACAAAAATATTATGGAAAACATGTTAATATTACATCATCTGCAATATTATAATACCTATCATTTGTGTAAAAATAAATAGTATTGTTATTATTATCTTTATTATTATCAGGGTGGCTATCATTTATCGAGAACCTACTGATTTGGGGACAATAAAATTTACCAAGGTTTAATAACCTAGTACTAAGCACATAATAGTTACTTATTAAATAGTATTGGAGGGATGAATTCACACATGCATAAGTGAATGGCATTAAGTATTGCTTTGAAAACTGTGCCCCATGAAACATAAAGAGTCCTTGAGAAGCAAACAAACAAAACAAAACAAAAAAACAAGACAAAAGAACATTTTGATCAAAAGCTACATTTTCAACTTACCTTCTTGTTTCCACACTTAGTTCCATTGGCTACCATGCCTATTTCTTGACTGTTGTCTTCAGGATCAAATGTTTTACATGTCAGGAAAGTTACTATATGTCCTCTCCAGGGCAAATTATCTGACCCACCTTGACAGAACAACTTCCCACACATGGCATCACTGAGGAAAAGCCAAATTTGTTGCAGTTGAAATACCAGGATCCAAATTATAGTCCTATGCAGTTCTAAATCAGCTCCCTGGCTATCAGTATTTAACTAATCATATTTCTCCCCATAGTAGAGACTCCTAGTTCTCCCTTTATGTCAAATTTCCCCTTATTCTTCAGTAATAGAACCACAAAGCATTAGCAAGGCACGTTATTGCTCAAAAACAAAACCCACATTTCCCAGATTCCTAGGCAGCTAATTTTGGCCAATTGCCTAGTTCTGGCCAATGGGAAGGAAGCAGAATCTTATGTGTAAATCCTTGAGGAGGGCGTTACATGAAGAGTATGTCCTACTTCTCATTTTTTTCTCTTTTTGGCTTATTGGAATGCAATGGCTGTAGCTGCAGAAGCCATGATAGGCCAAGAGAAACACCTGGGAATGAAGGTCATGCTCCAGATATAAGGAGGATGGACTTCTAATATCATGGAGGGCACGTAGTTTCTATTTTGTTTCAGCTAAAGTTACTTTTTTATTTTCATGAATTGCAGCAGAATAATTCTCCCAACTATAGCTGTATCTACGTAAGGCTGAGCCTTGGGTGACACTCCAAGGCATCATGTGGAGTTACTGAAAGAACTGTCTCCCTGCAAATAAAGATGAAACAGCTCAGTACTCAGTAAAGCCATTCACTACTGCCAAGGTGAATAAAGTCAGGGCCAATAAAACTGGAGTCAGTTGCTTTATGCTGAATTCAGAGGAGGGCTGTGAAAAACTACTCTGCAAGGGACAGAATCAGATTCTCCTGATGTTTCTGGTGGCGGTTAGCAAATATGACTGAGGAGTGGAGAAAGGCACACATTCTTTCCAAACCTGAAGAGCTGTTTTTCTTTAGTCACTTAGAGCTTTATAAGGAAGGCCTACTTTCAGGTCTACTCTCCACTACAGCCAATGACCATTCAGGTCTACTCTCCACTACAGCCAATGACCATTCAGGTCTACTCTCCACTACAGCCAATGACCATTCAGGTCTACTCTCCACTACAGCCAATGACTATTCAGAAGTGACTAAGAGGTCAACCTGTGGAAAGAATGACATGCTTGTGCCTCTAGTCGCAGAAATGATCCAGGGATCATACAGTCATTCAGGACAATGTGTGTGCATGCTAACAGAGGGAAGTGGAACCACCTTACGCTCTTTCCCGCTCGCTACCTCTCGAACTACATATTGGCTCCCAGAAAACACACACATTGCTTTTTACATAACTGTTTTCCCTTTTGAATCTACCCTGATTTCTTAGAAAGGAGAGGCCATGGAATATTATTATCCTTTAGGCTCAGACTCTCCAAGGGATGACACTACGTCCAAAGTATAGTTTGGTAATACTTATCATCTGGAAAAACCACTGTTTAAAAGAAAAACTTTGAGAAATGTTTATCTTGTTCAGTCTCTTGTTATACATTACTTAGTATGTGTGAAATTTGGAGAAGGCACTAAGTTTAACCTATTATAATTTGAATTTTAAAAGTCACCTTAAAATTGTAGAACCACAAAAATCTTATACAAAAATCTCAAGTCCATTGCTCATGATATTCTAGAAATTTTTTTTTCCAGAATATCCATACAAAAAGTAAAACAAGCTCTCCAGGCGAATTGTCAATCTTTTCTCTTACTGTATTTTTTTCTTTCTGTAATGCCACGACAAGCTTAAACAAAACTATACAAGCATTGTATTGGTTATTCCTCTGAGTAGATAAATATTTCTACTCCTAGAACCATAACAAAATACCTAGATGGAAAAGTGCCTAACGTATATTGAAAAATTCATGTATAGACTTCCATACAGGCCCATTCACTGCTGCTGCATGTTCCATCCACACAGTCACTCAATTTCACGATGACTGTACTTGATGTCCTCCAAAGCACCCACCATGAGGGACTGGAAAAAAGAGTTTATTTCTTATTCGTCTTTTAACTTAGTGCCTAGTCTAAAACACAGCACATGATAGTTAATGAATGCTGACTAAACGAATGATGTCCAAATTAACTTTTGCTTTAATTGGAATAAATCAGAACATGTATCTGAAAGTGAATGATTTCTCTGGTCTGAGGAGCAGGAAGGTTCAAACAAGGCCACTCACCTTGCTTTGCAGGGAATGCGTGTGTCGTCCACTTTGCGACAGTACCCATACCTTGACCCACCTTCATTCCTGCTATAACATGATTTGTCTGCAACCTTGGTCCCTGAAACCAGGCATGGTGAGTAGGGACATATTAGAAAAGAAAAGAGATAAGATACTCAATGCTACAAAGGATTAATGAAATATAAAATTAATGAAATATATAGCATGAGAAATACTATTCTGGCATAATCCCATTGGACATTGTCAGAAATATAGGCTGCAATAGTTTGTTATTGAGAAACATGGCTAGAAATTAAAATAATCCTTTAGGGGTGCCTGGGTGGCTCAGTTGGTTAAACATGGGACTCTTGATTTTGGTTCAGGTCATGATCTCAGGGTTGTAAGATCGAGCCCGGAACAGGCTCCTCACTCAGCTTGGAGTCTGTTTAAGATCCTTCCCCTCTCCCTCTGCCTCTCTCCCCCTCACGTACTCTCTCTCTAAATAAATAAATAAAATCTTTTAAAAAATACAATAAAATAACCCTTCATATATTTAAATTTTGAATAATGGCCATCTAAATATTTGGAAATGTGGTTGATTTGCTGAAGATTAAAAAAAAATCCATCTAAATATGAAGACTTAGCTAGGAGAGCCACAATCCTTGTATTAACATCTCGCAGGCAGACATTGGGATGCTCTTCTGCTAATACTTGCTATGTCACAATTACTTGCTATGCTTAGTCAAACTTCTGCTTTGTGCAGGCACCACATATTTAATTTCTCAGGCAATCTTCCTTAGATCCTCATCAGATGAGCAATAGAATACAGTGGTTAAGAGTTCAGGCGCTAAGTTGCAGCTGTGTGACCTTGGCCAAGTGCCTTAACCTCTTGGTTTATCTGTAAACCTGAATCATTTTAAATGAATTTCATGTTTCAATGTCCAAGATGATAAAATAAGTTTTATTATCATATTTTCTTAATTATTTGATCTCAGTAACATTTATAGGCTCATTATTATAATAAAATATCTACACTGAAAATATTGAATAGTTGGGCATGAATAATAAGGAAAAAGCATATTCCTAATCCCAAACTTCAGAGTTATTACGGCTAATATTGTAGAAAGTATCATTCATACACCTGGTACCATGCTGCTTCCCAAATAACAGTATACTTGTGCTTTCCCCAGGCACTAAATATTAAGCAGTTTCATAGCTGTAAAAGCTGCACTGAAGAAATACTATATAACTTATTTGACTGAGGCTTATTCTTGGACTTTGAGATGTTTCCCAATTATCCGTTATTAATTTTAAAAGTGCTGGCTGAAAAATCCCTTGTGAAAAAAATATTCCGGAATACATTTGCTGGGGAAAGCAGTACATTTTCTTTTTAAGTTGTACATACATTTTTCCAATTCATCCTGGAAAGACTGTCCTAATTCATGCTCTTACCAGACTGTATAAAACCAGGTGTTTTGCCACATCTTCACTGACACTGAGGATTAACTGTAACAAAGTGTTGCCAATTTGACAAGTGTTGAAGGAATCAACTTTTCATTCATATTTCTTACTATATTGGCATTTCCTGACACATCAATGTGTCAGTACTTCATACTTCTTGCTAGTAAGTTAGAATGACTTTAATGGTTTTTGGACATTTGGACTTCTTTATGACAAATTGCCTGTTAATGCCTTGGTCGCATTTTCAATATTTGGAATTGCAAATGATTTATAGAAATGACTTGATATCAGAGAGAGTGATCTCCCTCCTTATATATAAGACTTTTCAAACTCTGAATATTAATTTGAAATAAATTGTGATCCCTTAGGAATTACAAAATTTGGAATTTTATTTAGGCCAATCTGTTCTCTGATCTTTTATATGGGCTACCTTTAAATGTGTGATTTAAAAGATCTTTCCTCTTCCAATAAAAGATAAATATGTTCAACATTAATTCAATAATTTTGAACATTTACAAAAGTCAGGCAATGTGCTGGGACACACTGGGAATACAGTTGTGAACAAAATACACAGTGTCTAGGTACTGGGAAATTTACAGATTTGCAGGGGAGGCAGATAGTGAAGGGTCAGGCAAAAGGAGAAGGTAATAGTATTTACTGCAGTGATTTATCACCAGATAATAAAGGGGATGCTCAGAGCTTCAACTCTGTGCAGAAGATTTTCTTTCCCTAGTTTCTGCTATATACCAAAGTTAGTCAAGAAAGCACAGAGTCTCTCTTTAACCCACACAAACATCTTTGTTTCCACCTGTAACTTAGCATGTGAGTCTGCATTACCTGTAAGCGGGAGGGTTGCTGAGGCCAGATTCCTGCACGCCAGTGCACCTGCCCATGCACCCATGGTATTAAGCTATGCTCCTCAAATTGTGTCTCAGCCCACCCTTGCCTGATACAAAGGATTTATTTTAATTCAGGAATTTTTCTAAGTTCTAATCCCTGTATTTCTCAGGTTTCCTTTTTACTGGGTATATTGTGAAAGACTGATTTTTGTTGCTTTCCTTTATCTTGTTTTATGTATATTTTCAGGAATTATGAAAAGTTCCTGGCATGTGATAACCATCTTCAAGTATTTTTAGGAATATGTATTTTCCCTGTTAAAACATTCCCTTCAGTCATTTAAGGAATGTGCACAATGGACATCATATCCAGAAAGTCCAAAGAACTGATATTTTTTTATATTGCCTTTCTGATCAAGGTTGTTTAGTACAATTTAAGTTTTAGTTTACAGTTTTGGAGATTGTTAAGTTTTATTTTTAATTTATTTTTTGTGGTATATCAGAGAATATGGCTTCTAAAATTCTAGTATTGGGGCAAAATAAGCATTTAAGAGATTTCACTTTTCCACATTGCTCATCTGCACCCCCACAGTCCTTTTTTTCCCCTCCCCCTTCCCTTATGCTCTGCCCATCTCCCAGCACTCCTGCCACCCCTACACACACACTCACACACGGACACACACACGCACACACACACAGACACACGGACACATACACGGACACACACACACGGACACACACGGAGACACACATGGACACACACACACACAGACACACACACGGACATATACACAGAGACACACACACACACAGACACATACAGACACATACACAGAGACACACACAGACACACAGACACACACAGAGACTTCTAAGGGTGTACTTATCTGAGAAGGATCTTGATTAGGGTTGTCAGATAAAGTACCGGATATCCAGTTAAATTTGTTTCTTTGTAAGTTTTTATTTAAATTTCAGTAGTTAACATACAGTGTTATATTAGTTTCAGGTGTACAATAGAGCGATTCAACACTTCCATACAACACCCAGTGCTCATCACAGCTAGTGTACCCGTTAATCCCCATCCCCTATCTCACCCATCTCCCCCAACCAACGCCCCCTGGTAACCATCAGTTTGTTCTCCATAGCTAAGAGTCTGTTTTTTGGCTTGCCTGTCTCTTTTTTTTCCTGCTTTGTTTGTTTTGTTTCTTAAATTCCACAAATAAGTGAATCATGTGGTAGGTCTTTCTCTGACTTATTTTGCTTAGCATAATACACTCTATCTCCATCCATGTCATTGCAAATGACAAGATTCATTCTTTTATGGCTGAGTAATATTCCTCTCCCTATTTATTTATATTAAATAAATAGATCTACATATATTTACTTATATATGTAGATCTATTTATATATACATATTAATACGTCACATCCTCTTTATCCATTCATCAGTCGATGGACACCTGGGCTACTTCCATATCTTAGCTATTGTAGATAATGCCACTATAAACATCAGAATTCATGTATCCCTTTGAATTAGTATTTTTGTATTCTTTGGGTAAATACCTAGTAGTGCAATTATTAGATCATAGGGTTGTTCTATTTGTGACTTTTTGAGGAATCTCCATACTCTTCTCCACAGTGGTTGCATCAGTTTGCATTCCCACCAACAGTGCAAGAGGGTTCCCCTTTCTCTACATCCTCGCCAGCACTTGTCCTTTCTTGTGTTGTTGATTTTAGCCATTCTGACAGGTGTGAGGAGGTATCTCATTGTAGTTTTGATTTGCATTTCCTTGATGATGAGTGATGTTGAGCATCTCTTCATGTGTCTGTTGGCCATTTGCATGTTTTCTTTGGAAAAACGTCTATTCATGTCTTCTGCCCATTTTATAACCAGATGATTTGTTTTTGGGGTGTTAAGTTTTATAAATTCTTTATGTATTTTGAATACTAACCCTTTATCAGATATGTCATTTGTAAATATCTTCTCCCATTCCATAGGTTGCCTTTTAGCTTTGTTGATTGTTTCCTTCACTGTGTGGAAGCTTTTTATTTTGATGAAGCTCCAATAGTTTATTTTTTGCATTTGTTTCCCTTGTCTCTGGAGATATGTCTAGAAAGAAGTTTCTCTGGCTGATGTCAAAGAGGTTACTGCCTGTGTCTTCCTCTGGGATTTTTATGGTTTCAAGTCTCACACATAGGTCTTTAAACCATTCTGAATTTATTTTTGAGTATGGTGTAAGAAAGTGGTCCAGTTTCATTCTTCTGCATGTTGCTGTCCAATTTCCCCCACACCATTTGTTGAAGAGAGTTTTTCCCATTGGATAACCTTTCCTGCTTTACCCAGTTAAACTTGAATTTCAAATAAAGTTTTCTTAGTATAAGCTTACCTCCAGTATTTCATGAGACATACTGATACTAAAAAAAAAAAAATGTTAATCTGGAATTCAAATTCAAATTGACTGGTCCATCCTTATTTTTATTTGTTGAATCTAGAAATCCCTAAATTGACCTTATGTCTTAAAATGCACTCATCCAAGATTTGGAGCTGTAGCGCAGTTTCCAAGAAAGAAGGTTGGGATAGAATACTACTTTGGCCATGATTAAACACTGTCATCTGTTATAACACGGTAACATGATTTTTCTTTGTATGTGACTAGAGAGAGGCAGGAATGCCCATAACACTGGGGCTTGTCCTCCTACCTGGTCCCCACAGGCGGGTGCACTGCTCCTGCAGCGTGGGGCACATCCCCATCAAGCAGTAGCCCTCTCCGTTTTGGCAGGGAAAGCCATTGACTCGGAATCTATTATCAGGGCAAATACCAGATTTGCCATCACACATTTCTGGCAGGTCACACTCATCTTTTGCTGGTCTGCACACTGCACCACCCTTTTTAAACTGCAGGGAAATAAAAATGAAGAGAAGGCTTTTTTCTATCTGACTTACTCTAATATCTCAAATTAATGCAAATAATATTTTCCCTTTGGCCTTTTTTTGGCAAGGTAGTTAGAGGCATCATTCTATTGTAGCTTACATCTGCACTGCATAAACTAAAGACATCTCCTATTATATCACTTCTATTGACTTCTGCCAATGGCCTGAGTTTTTAAGTAATCAATATTTCTGAATTTATGGTGCAAGCACTATAGAATATCAATGAGAAAAGTGCAGAAGGAAACCAAGCCTCATCTTAGATGCAAAGAAGGGATTTATTTTTTCCTTTGTTAAAGGCATCTTTGTCAGGATTTTCAAGGAGATTTACACCTGCAACTTTAGAGATTTATTGGCAAAGTGAATCTTCTGTATTAAGGAAGCACCAGATCAGCGTGCTCTGAGACTTTCCCAGGCATCATGTTTCCTAATCCTTAATTCCTTTTATTGTATGCTCAAATGTTTCTTTTCAATTCACTTCTTCCTATGAAATGATTTCTTATGGGGGAGAAATAACTGGATGTGCATTTGATGTATTAATTCCTTGCAATTTATTCCTGCAAATCTTGCTCTTACTGCCTGAGAGAAACCTTAGACAACTTCTGCCATTTATGCAGATCTGAAGAGGCCTGTATGGATACTGGAAGCATATCTTTCCCTAGTTGAGGTGAGCAAGCATGTTTCCCTATATCATCAGAAAACTTTCAGTATCTTAACATTGATGACAGAATGGAATCCAAAATTTAATTAGATCATACATGACCTTCCAAATTCAACCCCCGCTGCTCCAGCCAGACAAGCTTTCTTACCAGAGCCATGCTTATACCTCCTGATCCAACTTGATTCCTTCCCTCAGCCTCCTCATTTAGGAGTGTTTTTCTCTTTTTGTCTACTTATCTAAAATCTACGCCTTACTCTAAGACTAGTGACAGCCTCATTTTCCACGAAGCCTCCTCTGACGTCTTCAGGGCACATTGTTGCCTTTTCTTCCTACACATGGTGGGAAGAGCCTTGAATTTGGATTTGGAAGATATGGGTTTAAATCTTGGCTCTGCCAGGGGCTAGGTGTATGCCTTAGAAAAGGGACCTAATCTCTCTGAAAATCCATTTCCCCATCTAATATTTCCTTTACAGAGTCATTATGGAACTTAAGTGAAAATTTAAGTGGAAAGCATTACACAAAGGGCATATATCCTTATAATGTCTACCTGGGCATTTAATCATGCACTATATTTTCATCTGTTTCAGGTATGTATATCATTACCCTAAAGAAACAGCATGTTCTTTGGAGTGAAAAACTACTTTTTTTGTTAATTTCCCACAATCTCCAACAAATAGCATTTAATCAACACTTGTTGAATACGACTTAAGTTCTCAAACTTTCTTCCTTTTGGCCTCTTTTATTTCTTTCCTCTCCTTCTGACATTAAAAAAAAAAAAATTCCCCAATACTACCTATAACCTGGTATGCCATCTATCTACACATTCCTTCTGCAAACAGTTCTTGAGCATTTAAAATGTATGAAACTGGGGCGTCTGGGTGGCTCAGATGGTTAAGCGTCTGCCTTCGGCTCAGGTCATGATCCCGGGGTCCTGGGATCGAGTCCCGCATCAGGCTCCCTGCTCCTTGGGAGCCTGCTTCTCCCTCTGCTTCTCTCTCTCTCTCTCTCTCTCTCTCCATCTCTCATGAATAAATAAATAAAATCTTTAATAAAAAAATGTATGAAACTCTGTGGTAGTTGAGGATGAATCAGTCCCTTGCCCTCAGAAGTCAGTCTAACTAAGGAAATAGGCATATAAACAAATAATCATAATAGAGAATTCCTTGCAACAATAGAAGGTAAAATCCTAAACTTGAACATGAAAGGAAAGTCAACACGCCCCACAGAGAAAATGACACAGAATCCTTACTTTATGTCTGTTTTCTAAGAAATTCACCCTGAAGTGACTTCAAAGTCTAAAGATAGGGGAGACCCCACATTACTTAAAACAAAAGCTTTAAGTGTTATGCTGAGTGAAATAAGTTAATCAGAGAAAGTCATGTATCATATGACCTCACTGATATGAGGAATTCTTAATCTCAGGAAACAAACTGAGGGTTGCTGGAGTGGTGGGGGTGGGAGGGGTGGGGTGGCTGGGTGATAGACATTGGGGAGGGTATGTGCTATGGTGAGCGCTGTGAATTGTGCAAGACTGTTGAATCACAGATCTGTACCTCTGAATGAAATAATACATTATATATTTAAAGAAAAAAAAAGAAGATAGCAGAAGGGGAAGAATGAAGGGGGCGGAAATTGGAGGGGGAGATGAACCATGAGAGATGATGGACTCTGAAAAACAGAGGGTTCTAGAGGGGAGGGGGGTAGGAGGATGGGTTAGCCTGGTGGAGAGTATTAAAGAGGGCATGTTCTACATGGAGCACTGGGTGTTATACACAAACAATGAATCATGGAACACTACATCAAAAACTAATGATGTACTGTATGGTGATTAACATAATAAAATTTAAAAAAAAAGAAAAAAGAAAGAGAAAAACAAAAGCTTTTCCACTGAACCTATTTTTAAAGGAATATGCAAACAGTTATGAGGTTTGGTGCAAGAAGGCTCTGTGGCATCAGATGCAGCGGCAGATATTGTTCCCCAGCATTGGCTTTGGAACAGGTCGTATTTGGAGTTTGCCATTCAGTGGGTCTATTATGTTGCACATTTTCTATTCTGAGCTTCTGTTCCTTCAAGAGCAAAATGAGATAATAATACCTAATTCAAAGGGATGTTGGGGGATCAAATAGCCCATGTTTATAAACACTCATATATAAATGGTAGGCAGCATTATTTTATAGACAGAAAACTAGTGCTTTGCTATTTCATTTAACATAATCACTGAGATTTTAATATAGAAAAATAAACAGTAATCATAATTATTAAAATAAAATAAAATAATAATCTTACCTGGCATTTTTCACAGCATTCTCCTAATGCACATTGAAAACTTGCTTTGATTTTACAAGTTTTAGCATCACAGCAAATGTTGGTACATTCCTGAGAAATACCAGAAACAAATGCAAATGCCAGATTGGGTCTCAATTTTTTGCTCTTGTTTCACTACAATTCATAATATATTTTTTTATCATACAGATCCTACTGTGATATAGTCTGAAAATAATTTTCAGGAAAATAAAAGATAGAACAAAGTTCAACATTAGAAAAACAGATTTTGGAGCCACTGGTGATTTGTCACATATCTGAAGTCTACTGACATCTTTTTAAATTTGAGTATCTCTTCTAGTTCACTCAGCCTCCCAGGGTAGTACTGAAAATGATCTATTTTTGGTAAAATATGAAAGAAAACAAAAGGAAAAAGGATATTTTTTTAAAATAAAATTTATACGCAACTAATGAATCATTGAAAACTACATTAAAAACTAATGATGTACTACTATATGCTGGTTAATTGAACATAATAAGAAAAAAATTTAAAAAGCACAACTGCTGACTGCGGAACTTTTCAGAGCCTTTAATACACAAGGCTCACTGTGACTTTCCAGAGGCAAATAGTATGTGTAACATTTCTTAAGTTTATCTGAGCAATAAACCTGTTATTCAAGGAAAATAAAATAAAATAAAATAAAATTTATCTAAATAGTTAAAAACATAATTAGTTGAGCTCACCAATTTTGTACCTATCCAGCAGCAAAATTAATCTCTAGGACACGTACTAAAAATCTAGAAGTATAGTTCTTTATGCAATTTTGACATTTAATTCAACTCTGCATAAAGCAATAGGCTGTGTCTTGCTCTCCCCAACTTGTTTCTGAGAAATCAGTCAACTGCATGAGGCTTTGAGGAAGCTCCTACTTTGGAAACTTCCTCTTATAGCTGTTTAGGTTCCCTAAGAGAATTACAACTTTTTAGGGTTAAAACTCTTGCTCTTATTTCAAATATAAACATCATCTTGGAAAAATTCCCCTTTCTCATAGAATGAATACATTTGTGGTCGTATTTTGAAATTACTGAAGAGATGACCCCTTGAAGCCTTGACATGTCACTCATATTAAGTGTTGATAAAACGGAGACAAAGATCCCATTCAGAACCCTGGATGCCTTGTCAATAGGGTGGGATCAGGCTAGGACTCCTAATGGTACAAACTCTTAAGTCACAAAGAGAAGAACTAAATCTCAGTGCAAGATGTCCCCAGGACTGCCAAAACAAACACCTGAGTCTTCATCTTGGCCTCTCCCTCTACCAGCTCCGTGACCTTGGGCAAGCCATTTACACCCTCTGAGCGTTATTGTGGTGTTGACCCTAAAGTAACGGCTCAGCAGGTTGTAGCCACATAAGAAAAGTGAAGTTATTTCTGCCAGAAGGAGAGGGATGAGGATACAAAGCCCAGTTGTTGAGTGGTTCTTAAAAATCAGGAAATGGGGAAAGAACACCAAGAAGGAAATTAGGAAGGTCTGCTAAGCAATGCAGTAGTCATTGTTAGAAAGGGTGGCCTGACAAATGTCTACAAATAAACATATGCAAAATTATAAGAAACGCACAATTTCAGAGTAATAATACAATTTTATAGTTTATCTTCTTGGCAATTGAAAAACAAATTAGATCATTTTAGAAAGTATTTGGTGGTACCTCAGGAGTCCCACAATCACAGTCCTCTCCCATTTCTACCAACTGATTCCCGCAGATTGGGATGGATATGATATCTGTGGGCAAGGGAGCGTTGAAAAGACAATTTGATAATTTATCTTCGAAGAACTTGTCATAGCTGATGCGGCTGCAGGAACTGAAGTCTGTAGGTATATAGAAGCTATGACAATAAGGAAAGAAAATGGAACACAGTCACGCTGAGCATGAAGGGAGCAATATGACACACTGGGGATGATACACCCAAAACCTGCCCTAAAAGATTAAACCCAATCCACTGCCCAACTGCTAAATCATGAGCTCATTTGTGTACCTGAATTAGCCCCGGATGGACACAAACACCTCCATCTTAATGAAAAAATATGTCAGATCTTAAAGTGTAGCATCCGGGCTGCTGTTTAAAAAAACAAAGATGCATCTGACTTATCCAGATAATCTTATTCAGCCTTAGGTCATTTTGGCTGTGAAGTCCTACAGCTAGTAGTCATACTTATTTATGTGTCTAAGAATTCACTTTCCTTCAGAGGAAATACTTTGGGGAGAATTTTTTCATTTCACATACCTCAAATAAAGATGAGGTTTAAAAATGCAGTAGTATCTGGGAGAGATAACAAATGTATGTGACTGGCAGCCACCAGAACCAAGTATTTTGGGGAATGGCCTAGGAGACTAACCCTAGATTGAGTGAGCTGGGACAGGGAAATAGAAGAGAGGAAATACATACATAAAAGGGATTGGGGATTTTTAAAGATAAAATTCCCTGGAAACTTTGCTTAGGCAAGGCAGGAATGTATCATTTCTTTATGCTCCTGCAAGGATGTTCTCCTAGAACCCACCCAATCTGAATTCATTGAAAATTTGATAAATACTAAAGATTTTCTGAAACCAGGTCTTATGTAGATAAGATGAAGTTAAAAATGTCAATCACGCCAACAGCAAAGACACAATATGTTTAAATGATGTATTAGTTAATGAAAAATATTGCATATAGATGAGGGATAAAGTGGTCTGCTATAGATAGGCATTCATGATTATACTATTTAATATTTAAAAGCTTGAGTGTGTTGCTGAGGATAACATGAAAGATATAGCACAGATAAAGCCCAGAGTGAACCAAAAACTGGGACAGAAAGCATCTTCCCAGAGAGCCTCACCTTAGTGCTCTGTCCATCACACATATTGCAGAAGGGCACTTGCAAACATAGGAGTCATGAAACATTCCAAAGTTATGACCCATTTCATGGGCCATGGTCCCTGCTACTCTAAGCATGTTGTCACTGTGGTCCTAAGGGCGAGAATAAGGAAATAGATCCTCTGGTTTTCAAACTAAATTATAACTCAGGGTATAATTAGTTTTACTAACTGGGGCTGAATGTGATTTTACTTTCAGCTTTTTCACTACTCACCATGTCTCTTTCTCTCCCTCCTCTTCTCTCTTCCTTTCCTCTCCTGCCTCTGTCTGTCTATCTCTCCCTCTCTCTCTCTCTCTCTCTCTCTCTCACACACACAACTTTGGTACTGAATGTGCATCACAGACACATTGCTTGCTCTTTATTCTTGTACATGGGGAATATTTATGATGAGAAACGTTTCTGTGGTTTCCTGCCATAAGAGATAGTGGTGAAATGTCTTCAACGATGATAAGGAATCAGAATTTTTTAAACTGATCTACCTCCAGGCGCCCCCCCCCCCCGGCTGGCTTTTAATACCTTCTAATTTGATTGAAGGGTTTTGATATGTTTAGCTAGTGGGGATCTGAAAGTGTCTGTTAACCCAGGACTTTAGTACCATTGGTATCTTTTTCAATTCTGTTACCACCAAGACTAGACATCAGTCGCTTCTAGACTTGCCCCATTGCATGAAATCTGGCTAGTAGCCAACTTGATTACTAGATTATTTCTGATTAGAAGTGTTGGACTGGGGGCTCCAGATTTTTCAGGAGCAATAAAACAGCACTACAGAATCACTGCAGGCTGTAATTTCCCAGTGGGGAGACAGGAATCTGCCAGTTACAACCCACCCAAAGAAACCTGATTTCCTTATCAACTTCATTCTAAAGAACCAAATAAAGAGATCCATAGGGCATGGTACAAGACTCATAAACAAGGAACACCTGTGTAAGATAGGAAGTTAATACTTACAATTCATGATATTCAATCATTCTGTGAAGATGAATCTGGTAAACCTTGCTATTTAGTAAGATGGAGTTACTCAAGTGGGAACAAAAACAAACCAAAAAAAATTAAGAAAAATGAAAATATGTTTAGACTTTCCACAATTGCCTTACGTGAGACTCCTTAAATTTATAGTATCTTCGTTTAAACAATTATTTTCATAACTTAATTTTTTTTTCCTTTGGAATGAACTCCATTCTCTCTCTCCCCTCTCTAAACCTTACCCACCCTTTGAAGTTTATTTTACAGCTACATTTCCTGACCATATTCATCTTCATTAATAATCCTCTACTCTGGATTCCTACTGCAGTTTTCAATTCTACTATCATATATTATTAAGTATTGCTTTAAGTAGTCTAATTTCTCTTCCAATTCTATGGTAAGCTCTTTTAATTTAAAAAATATATATTTGGGGCGCCTGGGTGGCTCAGTTGGTTGAGCGACTGCCTTCAGCTCAGGTCATGATCCTGAAGTCCCAGGATCGAGTCCCACATCGGGCTCCCTGCTCAGTGGGGAGTCTGCTTCTCCCCCTGACCCTCCCCCCTCTCATGTGCTCTCTCTCTCTTTCTCATTCTCTCTCTCTCTCAAATAAATAAATAAAATCTTTAAAAAAGAAAAGAAAAAATATATTTTACTTCTTCTGTTCACCTTATGAAGCTTATCACAAAACCAGACTCATATATATATATATATATACATATATATATATATATATATATCACACTTCCACCTAGGATGTAGAAAGCTGGAAAGAACATTATTCTTGCACTAGAAACAAGGACTAGGTAGATAAACTTCATTATAATTTTCTTTGAATCTATCAGTCAATTGTGGTTGTAGGACATTGACAGATCCTGGAAACTAAGAAGAGACAGGCCCTCCCAAGTACAGATTGGACATAAGAACTGGTTTATCTCCAGCAAGGCATAGAGAAGGAGATGACAGGTACCTGCAAGTGGGGAAGTAATTCATTTAAATTCTTAAATTAATTGCTAAAGGCCTAGTATGGGCCAGTGCAAGAGTATAGAATCTGCAGGACCTCAGAAACAAGGGTGCTTTGCACACACTTACAGACATTTCTCCAGAGGCCTCCTCTCTAGGAGCTCATGATAGACACTGGGAGCCAGGTAGTAAAACAGAAAGAATTTCTCTTGTGGAATGGGCCAGAAGCCACTGGGGAGAGAAATAGCAAGTTCTGACAACCTAAGACAGAACTGAAGACCCAGTATGGGCAGGGGATGGGTTTAATCACACACACACACACACACACACACACACACACACACACACACACACCCTCTACTCCCGAAACAGGAAGACAAAAATCTTGAGCCCAGGATCCTATATTGATATTAATTGAGGTTTCCTCCACTGAGGAGAGTCAGGAAACTCTTCCTCAAAAGACCTGCAAAAGATAGAAAGGAAAGGTTTGCTGCCATTGGAAGGATGGGTAGGATCCTTAAGAAAGCTTTACCTCTGAGACTCAGGACATACTTAAAACCAAAACTGGATAAAATCAAAAGAGAAACCCCTACCCCTGCTCCTTACCACCAGATTATAGGAGGCTGGAAAGAGTGTCACTCCCAAACTTACAATAAATAAACCACTGGACATAATAAGATTCATAATTTATAGAACTCATCCAGAGCTGAGGTCACAAGGCAACAAACAAACCTGAAATCTAAGGAAAGGTAGGCTTACATCTACAGGGAAAGTCAGAGCATGAATATTTGTTTACACTACCAGATAAGAGACACTACCAGATGCCAGTAATAACTCATACAAAAAAAAAAAAAACCTTAAAACTGATAAAGGCAGAGTGTATGTGGTACAGCAAGAGAATATACAAGGAGCGAGCATAAGCAGGAGGAGCAGCAGGCAGAGGGACAGGCAGCCTCCCCACCGAGCAAGGAGCCAGATGTGGGACTCTATCCCATGGTCCTCCTGGGATCATGACATGAACAGAGGGCAGACACTTAACTGACTGAGCCACACAAATGTCTCAAGAACCTGCAGTTTTTTAAAGAGCAACTAGAGGGGCGGCGCAAGATGGTGGAGGAGTAGGAGACCTGGATTTCGTCTGGTCTCAGGAATTCAGCTGAATAGGGATCAAACCATTCTGAACACCTACGAACTCAACAGGAGATCGAAGATAAGAAGAGTAACAACACTCTGAACAGAAAAGCGACCACTTTCTGGAAGGTAGGACATGCGGAGAAGTGAATCTGAGGCGATATTCGGGAGGATAGACGGCGGGGAGGGGGCCTCCGTCGGCCGCTTCTGGCAAGTGATAGAGCCGCGGAGCACAAAATCGGAACTTTTAGAAGATGGCTCCGCTGAGGGACGTCGCTCCAGTGGCTAAGCGGGGGTGGAACCCTCGTGGGACAGTGTGGTCTCAGGACCCTCGGGGTCACAGAAAGACCGGGGGTGCCTGAGTGCGGCAGAGCTCCCAGGTATTGGAGCAGGGAAGCCGGCTGCAGAGACGGAGCCGAGGCGCAGCCTCTCAGCTCGGGGTTGCCATAAACTGTGATCCGCGACCCAGTCGGGCCACTGCTCCTCCAGCAGGGACCCAACAAGCGGCAGAGCCGGGGAGACTCCCCTTCCTCCCCCAGGAGGAGCGGCGGCACCGCAGGGATCTGCTGGGTTTGGAAAATCCACACGGGGTCGGGTGTCAGACATAGAAATGCGCCATCACAGGCCAGGTGAGCACGGAGTGCGGCCAGAGACCGGGGAGACGGGAGTGACTGCTTTTCTCTGGGGGCGCACTGAGGAGCGGGGCCCCGAGTTCTCAGCTCCTCCTGGGAGATTGAGAGGCCACCATTTTCACCCTGGTCCTCCAAAGCTGTACCGAGAGCTTGCAGGGAAAAAAAGCTCCTGAGAGCAAACCGGAGCAGCTTGCTTAGCCCTGACCGACAAGGGCGGTGCAATTCCGCCTCCGGCAAAGATATTTGGGAACCACGGCAACAGGCCCCTCCCCCAGAAGATCAACACAAACAGCCAGCAAGCCAAGACCAAGTTTACCGATCAAGGAGAATGGGAGAACTCCAGCGCTAGGGGAATACTGCACAAAGAATTCATGGCTTTTTTACCATAATTCATTAGTTTTTCAAAGTTAATTTTTTTAACTTTTTTTAGAATTTTTCTTTTTCCCTTTTTCAAACAACATCTTATCCCTTTTTTTAAAAGAAACATTTTTTATTTTTCATTTTTAGTTATATTTTTATCCCTTCATAGTAGTTACCCTTATTTTTGGCATATATATATAAGTTCTTCTCTCTTTAAAATTTTGAGATACAGTTTCTTCTAATAGATCAAAATATACCCTAAATCACTAGTGTATGGCTTTGTTCTAGTCTCCTGCCTGATCACATTCTCTCCCTTTCTTTGTCTTTTTTTTTTAAATCTTCTTTCTTTTTTCAAACAACTTCTTATCTTATCAATTCCTTTTATAAAATCTTTTAAATTTTCATCTTTACAGTCATCTGCCATCCCTTCATTGTATCAACCCTTATTTTGTACATATATAAGTCTTTCTTCCTTTAAAATTTTAGCAGGCACTTTCTTTTAACAGACCAAAATATGCCCAAAAGCTAGTGTGTGGCACTGATCTATGCACTAGCCTGATCATATTTGATCATATTTTGTTTTTTTATTTTGTTTTGTTCTATTTTTGTTTTTATCATTTTCTTTTTCATTTTTTTTTCTATTCTTTCTTTCCTTTCTTGTCCCCTGGTTTCAGGTCTTTTCTGATTTGTATGGAGTATATTTGCTGGAGACGTTGTTAACCTGTTAGCATTCTGTTCTCTCATTCATCTGTTCTCCTCTGGACAAAATGGCAAGACGAAAAAAATCACCTCAGCAAAAAGAACAAGAGGTAGTACCGTCTGCCAGGGACCTACTCAATACTGATGTTATTACGATGTCGGACCTAGATTTCAGAATCATGAATTTAAAGATAATAGCTGGGCTTGAAAAAAGTGTGGAAGTTATTAGAGAAACCCTTTCTGGAGAAATAAAAGAACTAAAATCTAACCAAGTCGAAATCAGAAAGGCTATTAATGAGGTGCAATCAAAAATGGGGGCACTAATGGCTAGGATAAATGGTGCAGAA